GTTTTACTCACAGGCGAGAGGGGAACACCTTGGCCGTCACTACTAGTTGGGGGAAGGTGAGAAAAGCTAGTTCCATCAAAAAGATCTCCTTTCATCTGGAGTCCCCCATCGCAGTCCAAGAGCATTGCAGACAGAGTTAGGTTGTAGCCAGCTCTCTTGGCTTCGTGCCAATGGCGGGACCGGATGTGAGCCTCAAGGGCAGTCTTGGCTTTGAAGAGCGCCCTGCAAAAAGGGCATCTCCGATGGGCCTGGGCTGGGCCCACGGCCCGGAATTGTCCTTTTCTTTCCCGGGCTCGGGTGTTCTGAAACCAGACCTGTACCACACGCTTCTTTAAGCCCACCTCATGCGCAATGTGATCCAACATCTTTCGAGTTGGGTTGGAGTCCAGCAGATACTTCTGGTAGAGAATTTCTAGCTGTTCTGGCGTGATGGTGGTCCGCAAACGCTTGTCTCTCTGCGGTTCTTCGCCTCCCGTTCCGCTGTCATTCTCCCCGGGACTGGCGCTGGCCTTTTCCTCCAGCTTCCTCTTCAGAGTGTTCATGGTGGAGGTTGGAGTTGAAGGAGACGTGGCCGAGCTGGCTGGAATCTGAGGTATGGCCCCAGAGAGCAGCTGGCTGGCCAGGAGTGGGTTGCTAGGATCGAACAACATGAAAGGCATATCCAGTGACCTGTCCAAAAACTGGGGGTGGATGAACTGGTTCTGCGCGCTCAGGAAGTGAAGCTGCTGATGCTCTTGCCAGTGCTCAAATGATGGGAATGCCAGCTTGCACTGGTCGCACTGGTAGGGGATTAGCTGAGGAGGTAGGTTTGCCAGCTGTTGCGGGGTCGACGTGTGGAGAGGCTTGAGAGGCAAGTGGGAGAGCTGGGAAGGACTGGGACTCGACTGGGGTAAGGGACACTGAGGCGGGGGTGCTTGCGGGGGAGGCTGTGGTAACGAGGGGGGGGCAGTCAGCTGTGGGAGCTTTTGCTGGGCTGTGTTTGTCTTTTGCTCAGGCTGGTCTTGCTGCTGCAGCTCTGCCTTTGGTTGTCCTTGCTTTTCTTGGGTTGGGTTTGGCTGCGCACTGAGAGGTTCAGCCTGCTTTGGTTTCTCATCACTCGCCTCCGCTTTGGAACTGAAGGGGGCCAGTTCTTCCGCCTCGGCTGTGAGCTGCAGGAATGCAGAGGAAGCCGTATTGGTGGATGGCGCCGGGGCGCTGTAAGCTTGGGATGGCATCGGGGTGCTGCAGGAGGAGCTCGTGGGCGTCAGGATTTCCATGGCGTCCATCGAATCCTCATTTTGGCTGTCTTCCTGCCCCTCCTCATCCTCATCCTTGTAACACAGCTTCTTCTGGTGCTTGATGAGATCAAAGATGCGCTGAAACACCAGGCTACATTTTTTGCACTGGTAGTTCAAGTTGCTCGTGCGGATGTACCGGTCATTCGTAAGTTCACGCCGCTCTCCGTCTTTGCCCTCTCCCTGATTCTCGTAATTCTTCCGGGCCTTCTGTCGGGCATTTTGAAACCAGACCACTATGACTCGGGTCGGAAGGTTCAGTAAATTCGAGAGTTGTTCAAACTCATCGTCCTTGGGGTAAGCGTTGGCGTCAAAGAAGTCCTGCAGGACCCGCAGCTGGTAGTCCGTGAACCTCGTCCTGGAAGACCTCTTGCTCCCCCAGTACTCCTGCTTCTGCGGTTCCGGCGAGGGGGGCCGGGAGTCGATCTTGAGCTCCTCCAGGCTGGTGATGGGCGGGTTGCTGAAGTTGTAAGGGGAGTCCTTGTTACGCTGCCGCTCTTTGAAGAGCGTGTTTCTGAACCAGTGCTTGATCACTTTCTGGGGCAACCCAGACTTGTCGGCCATCTCTTTGATCTGCTCTTCACTGGGGGAGTTGTTAATGTCAAAATACTGCCGCAGCACTCGAAGCTGGTCATCCGTGATCCTGGTGCGAGGCCTCTTGTTCTGCTGCTGGAGCAGGCTGGGGTTGAGCTGATGCTGGTACAGCTGGGCCAGGTCTGCGGGCAGCGGCTCCACGGGTCCAAGCTGGGGGGGCAGCTGAGCCGGCAAGGTCTGCAGCGGCATGGTCTGCATCATCAGCGGCGAGAAGATGGGCAGCTCCATGGGCATGGAGAGCTGGGTGAGCGGGACGGAGGGCTGAGCCGGTGCGATGGTAGGGGAGGTGATGGGGGGCGCCGACGCAGGGATGGCGGGCGTGGACGCCGGCTGAGGTGGCGCTGCGGGAAGGGGCGGCGGCGGCGGCGGAGGGGGCGGCGGGGGGGGCTCGGGGGTCTGGGGCCTCAGGGGGTACAGTTTGTCGTAGTGCTCTCGGTACTGTTTGGCAAACCGCTCCAGCTGTTTAAAGGGAAAGTAATTTTGGTGAACGTGCTCTTGATGACTCTTTAAAATCAAGATGTTGGAGAAGAGCTTGCCACAGGAGTCACACTCGAGCTTTTCCAGATTCTCTCCCTGCTCAGTTTTCCCGTTCTTCTTCTGCACCTTCTGCTTGTTCTCATTGTACTGAATGACCAGCTCAAAGCCAAAGTTCTCCAGCAAGGCCTTGGTGGCGTTCCCTCTGGCATCCGAGGCGATGCGTGGGGGAAGCATGGAAGACTCAGAACTACCCCCTGGTGCCAACTCTTTCTTCTCTTTGGCCTTCAAGGCATCTGGCAGCGATTCCTTTGGTCCCGCGTTGCCTTCCCCCTCAGCACCATCCCTCTCTCTCTGGCTCTCTTTTTCCTTCTCTTTGACAACCAACTTGTTCTTCTTCTCAGGGTGCTGACTTGGCTGTAGGAGGGCAGAGTGACTCTGGGACAGAGACAGCTGGCTCTGCTGCTGCTGCTGCTGCTGCAGGATCTGCTGGTGGCTCTGCTGGGGGAGCTGCACCTGAGCCTTCAGATCTTCCAGCAGGCCTGGGCCTGTCCCGGTCAGTGTCAGTGCCCCACTGGTCACTGGCAGGCTCACCTCGGGGTTGAGCTGGAACTCGGCACTGGGGATGTAGAAAGGGAAGAGGAGATGCTGCTGCTGCTGCAGCTGCAGCAGGGTCTCGGTGGTCATGGGGAAGTGAGGAAGGAGGGTGGGGTTGAACAGCTGAGACTGAATCAGGGCAGCCTGCTGCTGCAGCTCTTGCTGCAAGTGAGCTTGAACTTGAGCCTGGGCCTGAGCCAGTGTCTGTGCTTGTTGCTGTTGCTGCTGTTGCTGCTGCTGCTGCTGCTGCCTGGATGCAATCATATCTGCCAACTTCTTCCGATTGGCCTCCTTGGGCTCTGAAGGGGAAGAAAGGTTGGCACCAATGGGATTACCCAGGGGCGGCATCCCTACACTTTCAGTGGGCACTTGGCTCAGTAAGCTGGAGCCTGGAGCAATGGCGGCACTGCCTGGATTGGTGGTGGTGAAGTTGTTACTACCACTGGTGCTCACAGGACTTGGGGTGGAGGAGCTCAAGGAGACACTGCTGCTGTTCCCGGTCCCATTGCTGCTGCCCCCTGCAGCCTCCAGCTTGGCCGCCCGGGCTTTGGTTTGATGCAGCACAGACCGCATGTGGATCTCCAAGGTGGAACTCTGGCTGTAGGCCACGTTACAGGTGTTACACTTGAAAGGTTTATTGTCTGGGCTGCTGGTGGGTTCTGGCTGACCAGTTGCTGATTCTTGAAGGGCTCTCTTTAACTTATGCAGGTGGGAGACAGAATTGTAGTGCACGAGAAGGATGTTCTTTTGAGTGAAAGATTCTTTGCAGACAGTACACTTATAAGGGCGAGAAGGGTCTAGAAATTTCTCCATGGTAAAGTTGGGGCCTTTTCTGAAAGGTAGCGCTCTCTTTGGCTCTGAGCCCGAGTCTTCCTGTACAGACCCAGAGTCACTACCTGTTGGGCTCTGCTTATCTTCCAAGTCACTCTCTTCCTCCTTGTCTTCCTCAACGATGATGGTGTGGTCCTCGGCTAGGGTGGGGTCTCCCATCGCCAGGAGATCACCATTGGCCAGAAGGCCGCCGTAAAGCTGCTGGATGTCGGCCTCACTCAACTCCAGGTGGCTTGTCTCGAGGTGTTTTTTCAGAGCCTGAAAAGTTCGGAAACTGCGCTGACAAAGGCAGCACATGGTGGCCGCTCTGATCACGTGGTACTGAGAGTGGAGCTGCAGCTTTTCGATGGTCTTGAAGGCCAGGCTGCACTGATTGCAGCGGTACTTGTACACGTGGCGGTCTGACACAGGCAGCTGAGGCCTCTTGGCATGAACCTCATTGAAGTGCGTCTGAAGAGCGGCGGAAGTTTTGAAAACCTGGTTGCACCCCTTCTTCCAGCAGAGGAAGCCTGAATCTTCTCTCACAGAACCTGGGTCAGCAGGAGAGGGTTTCACATCTCCGCTGTGCTCTGTGCTGGCAGAGGGCATGATGCTCTTTCCCAGATCCTCTGTGGTTTCTGCAAACAAACACAAGATTCAAGCCCAATGACAAAGGCGGCTTTGTTTCAAGGGTAGCACCCAGAGCAGTCTACCCAGCCTAGCTAGCAAAGCCGCGCAAAAATGAGGGAAATAGCCACTCTCAACACAGGCTCTCTTCACAGGCCCTCTGCATCCAGGCAGCATCTAGTACAGATCATGAATGAGAACATATGAACAGAGAGGATAAAGACATACAGAAAGTTTCAGAATAGGCCTGTGTCATATCACAGATCTGTCTTGAAACAATGTTTAGTTGCTTGACTCAGAATCCTGAGTTTCTCCGAAATCACTCTTAGACCGGATTCCCCTTTCATGTTTGTCGGTCACAGAGGAATCTAGCTCAGTGGATCTGAATTGTAGGATATGTGAATTAATGCTAAGTTCTAAGTTGTGGGGAACTTAGGAGAAATACTGTCTATTATCATTAAGAAGTTCTGGAATTTTTTAACGTTCATTCTTAATTTCCTGTTAGAATGTGACTTTTGATGATCCTCTCCAGAAGTAATGAACAGTCAAGTGTCCAATTATTAAAATATACTAGTAGTTTTTTGACAGTGAGATCCCATCCACAAACATTCTCATCTTTTTTAGGTCATCTGCCCCCTGCCTCATACGGAAGAATCCCAAGGACAGGGGGACAGCAGTTTGCCTGAACTCTTCCCCGCACAAGGTGAAAGATGGAGGAGAACCTCACAAGCGGAGGTCTAATGAGCCTCTCGCTGGGGGCACCAGCAGCAGTCACGTCCACCACATTCATTCCAAATGCACCCCCATGCTAATTTCTAAGGCTATCACAGAAGACTCAGAGAACAACAGTTGCAGAGGAGCCCCAGAAGAGAACTAATCCAGTGCCCCGAAATCACACAGGTACGCCACAAGTCCCTGCAATTAAGGCCTCAGTGGTGGGAGTGCTCGGCCATTGAGGATGGTGCGCCTTTCAGATGATCAGTTAGCACTGAAAAGGAGCCTTGTACCCCCACTGTGTAAAGATTCTGGCCCATAATTTCACTTTGTCTCCATTCCCAGAGATCAGGAGTAACAACACTAACCAGGCTGCTTGCCTGCCTCTTCCAAACTGGAGCTCCCGTCTCGATCTGGAACAGCCGCTGGGAGGAACATGCTGCTGGGCATCACCATCTCCGGGGTGGTCACCTGGACGGCGAGAAGCAGAGAAACAAGGTGAGTCAAATCGAGAGGAAAGAGACACAAAGTAGGGAAATGCGTAAGAAATTATTTAATAAGCAAAATTAGCCTTCACTCGTGTAAAAGCTGGAGGTGTCACTTTTCGTAGCTCACTGAAGAGTCATGTTTATTAGACAAAGCTCACATCAGTCAAAAGTGTTTCTACGGTTACATTCTGGACATAATTAGCAGTGCACACTTGAAGAATAATCTTATTATTAATATTTTTCCTTTATGCAGAATTTTGACTTTGATCACTGACAATGTTTTGTCATGGGCTGTGAAACTTCTTGTGCAACCAATTAGGTAGATAAGTTGAAAGGCCCACCTTAAGCTGCTGAAAACATAATAAGGGCCCTAATTAAATCATACCTAGTAAAGTACACGGTAATCTTGACGCAGGGAGCATTGTAGTACTGTTTTCAAATGTATTCAGGCAAGAAGAGGAGGGAGTAAGAGTGAAGGGAAGGGTAAGAAGAGGAAAGAGAACAAAGGGAAGGCTAGGACTCGCAGACACACTGGCACACTCTCCAGGAAACAACATTTTGTAACCCTTTACAAGCTGAGATCAAGTGTCAGCGAGCGTTTCTCATGACTCACTAAAGCCAGGATTTCTTCTGGAGCTCTTGCCCAAGGTACACAACAGCCGAAGAAACCTCTGGCCAGTGTCCCAGACGGAGCGCGCCCCGCACGGCACTCCCCAGCAGCGTCGCCCCACCTTCACCATGCCATGGCTTCCCGGTACAGCAACTCCAGAATGAGGCTGGATCAAAATAGCTACAATTTCAGGTCCGATCCTCAGCCACTTCTCCAGGCTTCCCTGCCATCTGGCTAGAAGCTTGTCCAAACAAGTTGTCATTTGCCCTCCAGCTAAGCCCTCCTGCCCTCAACAGCCAATGTGAGGAGTAAGAGAATCTTCGCTTAAAAAGCGGCACTCTCTCTTCGCCTGCTATGGTGTCAGCGGTGATATGCCCAGATGAATTAGGAATGGTCTACAGTTTGAGACAGCCTGAGCTATGGACTGACCTAGATCACAGGGCCAGAAACTGCAGCCATCACTAACCTTTCTACAGGGCGCCCAGCCTCACTGGGAAACGTTATGTATGCCTGTCAAACGTGGCTATCGTAATCGCACCTCACCCCCGGTAACAAAGATTGGTCAAAATTAAATAGCATTTTAAAAAAAATTATTTTTCCTGGCCTGCAGATCCCAGCCTTGTTCAGAGTGGCTGCTGACATGCTCACCAGAACCATCAGCGACAGGCTCTACCCTAGACGAAACCCAGACAGCTGTCTCATAAACACCAGAGGCAGCTCCCCCACGCGCTCAGGAGTATCAGAATCATCTCAGCAACCCAGATGCCAATAGGTGCAAAAATTAAGCAACAGGCACCCCAGAGAAGAGTTCTCAGAAAGCCTGTGTTTACGACGAGCAGGTGCGTGGCAGGTGAATGTGTGTGACATGAATTCCTGCTCTCAGACATCTGCACCCGCACACAAAGCTCGTCGGCAGCTGGCGAGGGCTAGCTGTTGATGAATCGTTAGGAGCGGAGCGGAGATCGCCAAACTCATTCCAGCTATTTTCTCTTTAATAGAAAGCATTTCTGACCAGTGTGGTTGGGGAGTCCAGCGGGAATCCAAGAAGTGAAAGGTCACCGATTAATTTATAGTCCTAAGCCGAGGGGGAGCACGAGGTTGGGGGCAAGACGGGGAGAAAGGGAAAGGAAAAAAGACTCCCTCCCACCTTCTTTCTCGGCTGTAGCTGCAGGATCAGTCCTTTCCTGGGATCTTTAGGAATTATGAAAAATGAATCATGAGGAAAAAAAAAAAGCCCTACAGAGTAAAAAAGAATAAAATTATCTAACACCTCAGCTGCACATCATTATAGAAAACTGTGGGCTTTTCATACGCATTACAGTAAGGCAGACATCCCCTCTAACAGACTCGGTACGACGGATCAGTAATTGTTTTCATACACTTTAATTAGAAAAACTCAGATGGCTATGAATAATAATGGAAAAGAGAGACTTTTGCACTTGAAAGGTTGAAGTCAATCAAGTGTGAATGACGGCAAAAAAAAAAAAAAAAAAAAAGACACCAATTCATCAGCCCTCTGTTGTCTCGCCGCGACTTTAATCATAATTCCTGATTGGGATTCAAGAAGGCAGTAAGCAGCGGTTCTTTGTCTGCCTTCACCTTCCATCAATTAACTCTCCCCGAAATATAATCATCAACCTCATATGCTCCTCTGCATCTTAATCTGGGCCACCAAACCTGTAAGTCTTGCCCCTATGTGTTTAAGTAATTACTTCCATCTACCTGCGTCTTATCTGTAGTATCCCCAACCTCTTCCAAAAAAAAAGAAAAAAAAAATTCTTTTCCATATCAAGCCTTTAACAAGCTCATAATTCCCAGGAGGCACATCCCTAAATGGAACCCTGAGGCTCTAGTAGTGCTGGTGGGGCCTCTGCGCCTGGGTGTGCACCTACGCAGCTGGAGAATGGACGCTTCCTTGCTGCACAGGCTGCCCCGCGTCAGCTCTCACACACGAAGCTCCCGTGTCCTTTCCTCTCTCTCCCACCAGCTTCCAGAGCTTTCCACGCAAATCCCTCAAATGCTTTTTGCTAAAGAGCCATAAACGTAACCCTGCCAGGAGAGCTCACTGAGGAAAAGAGGAGGTGGCCAACGGCCGAGTTCCCGCCACACCTGCTTGCAGAGCCCCTCTGTTCTCCAGTTACTGGCTACCACGCGCGGAAGGGCCAGAGAGCCCAGCCACGGCCTCCAATGGACAGGTGCGTATCTGCCTGTCCCACTGACATGCAACCGTGCGGGGCAAACTCGGTGACGTCATTCTCTCTCCGGCCTCTCCCCTGCCCTTTCCCTGTCTCCTCTTCTCCCCTAGCCACGCACCCACAGGCCAGACGAAAGATGGAGGCACGCAGGCGGTCCTCTCCACAACGACTGCAGACCATCCGCGCAGACGCTTTCTCTAAAATATCTCTACACCCAACAAATGTGTTCAGTGATGCCCCCATCGTCACGAATGGACAGGGAACTGGCACTCTTGAAACACGTTTGATAAAAAAAGTAAGTTTCTCTGTAAGAAAATTTCAACTGACTTCTTTGGACTTTGGGTCTTTTAACATTGGCCTCAGCCACATAAGGGGCAGCTCCCCAGCGGTTTTTTTAGTTACCACGTGCTCCACTCCTCCACCCCAGCTAAGTTGTCTGCATTCCTTCCACAGGTGACGGGGCAGAGGAAGAAACCATCAACTGAGCTGTGGCGCTGGGAGTAAGAAAACAGTGGCTCTTCTACCTTCCAAATAAGCAACGGGATCTTGTGTTAACAATACAAATAGGAGAGTTCTGCTCCAGTGCTGGAAACCTTCAAGCTTAAGCAGTTCCAGAATAGTCGTTGGGGAAGGAAGAGACGCAAGTGACTCTTTATTCACCCCTTGATTTGACCCCGCCTGCCACACATTTTACAGACTCCCTATGCTGCAAGCTTGAGAGACAGGGCGAGACAAGGTACCTGGTCTTGTCCCCGCTCCTGGGACGCTCACAATCTGAAATAACTAAACTTCTCAGGAATTCTGGTGGAAGCCGCGGGTGCCTAGAAGTCTGTTTCCACATAGCCTGTTTACAGAGTTCCAGGTAAGCACAGTGTCCCTGGCAGGAAAGACATGGATGCAAGTTCACTGTCCTTTGAACTACTAGGAGAGGGGAAACAGATGCATTAAATATCTAGTTCCTACCGCCACCTACTTCGGGTCATCGTTATTCTGGATTGTGATATCACGTCAAGATTCCATGAAGTGTGTGTGTATCCTAAAGCCCCAAGGGCGCGCACACCTTATAAAACCCAGCTTCTTAAATGTGAGTTCCCCGCCAGGACATTTGGGAGGGGTCACCCACGTTTAGTCTGTCTCCGGGAAGGAAGCTGGAATTGCAGGGAGCGCTCTTCCCGCCTTGCTTTGTCTCGGTCATGGAGACAGAGTGGCCAGATACCACCCCCTGAGCAGGGAATGCTCGTGCAGATTCACCACACGAGGCCCCTGTCTGGGTTACATACATGTAACCAACAGGCTCCACGTGCTCTCGAGAGCAAAGAGATTTTCTTTGAAAAAGTGGTTTCTCTCAGACCTTCATCCCGAAGGCTCGGACATGCCTTGCCTAAACAGGGCTTCTTCCCGAAAGGGTCACTCTTCCGAGTAGCAGTGTAGATTTGCCAAAATCTACACCGCTGAGGAAGCCTCAGATCCTTCTCAGTGAACATCAACAGAAAGAAAAAGCTCAGGCAGAGCCCTCGTGGCAGTGACCTGGGCAGGCTCTCCAGCCCAGCAAATGAGGTGTCGGTTCTGTTCCCCAAACAAACAGGAAGTTAAAACCCAGCTGCTTGCAGAGCTGAGGGTCTGGCTAGTGCGGATCTCCAGCCGCTGCTCGCTCCCTGTCCTGGCTGCCGGGGCCAACACCTCTTAGCAGCAGAGCTGCAAGGGTCTGTGTCCCCCCGTCTTTACTACCTGCCCGCGCACAGGCTGGGGCGCTGGACTGTGGAGTGGGCCCAAAGGCTCTGTCTCATTTCCTCTCTGTACTATCTTCTGTGGGGTTGTCTATACATTTTTAAAAAAAAAAAAAAAAACAGGAAACCCATGAGGAGAAACTGCAGGGCCACGCTCACATTCATGTGAGTCAGAGACAAATGTAGCCCTGAACCAGATTTTTAAACTCATTAAGAATGAGAAAAACTGAAAAAGGATGTGGGTGGGAGAACAGTTTGCGCGTGTGTACACACACACACACACACACACACACACACACACAGAGAGAGAGAGAGAGAGAGAGAGAGAGAGAGAGAGAGAGAGAGGAGAGCTGAGGAGGAGAATGAATTGGAGAGAGAAGCTTCATTAGGCTCAGAGAGGCAAGCAGTGGCAGTACACCAAGGTCACTTCTAATTTAGACCATCTAATTGGCAAACAGGCTCCAAATGGCTATCATCTCACAGGGCTTGGAATTAATGAAGCCCGATTATTTTCATTACCTTCCTCTGAGATGGAGACAAAGTGAGCGAGCTGGTACCCGGGCGGGGGCAACAGCCCCGGGGCCAGTGACCACCCAAGAGCCCCAGTGGGGGGGGGGGTGTGTGGGGTGGGGGGGAAACGGCAGCAGCCAGCTTGTCCCGGAGAGCCATCACCAGCAGCAGAGAGACACAGACCAAAACCAGCACAGGAGACAGACTTGCTCCCAGAGGGGAGCCCACGGGCAGTGCAGGGCCAGCACAGAGGGGGGAAATCTGTGCCTGTACAAAGACCCCGAACACAGAACTGGCCAAGGGAGAAAAGCAGAGCTAGAGAAAAAGGCGTTCCTGGGTGACTCGGGAGCCATCTCCACTGTGAGGTCATATTTGGTCAAGTCATCGAAGAACAAAGACGATTTCCCCATATTAAAGTTCCAGGATCCAGTGATTGTGTCCTGTCGCTCAGATGGACAGTGATCAGTTGGAATAATTCAAGAGTATGGCAATGCATGGCAGGTGGTCTTCCCCAGGCTCACTTTGGGCCCAGACACGTCCCCCATGCCTGCAACTCTCCTGCCTCCAGAAATGGAAAAAATGAGGGCGCGGAACAGCAGTTACGTCCCCACCCCCGATCTGCGATCTCCACCTTCTCCGTGAACAGGTGTGAATTCGGACATCGGGGGTGGGCTGCTCACTCAGGTCTGGAAGGACACCTGTCTCCCCACCCCGAAGCTTTACAGAGTCCCCCCTTTCAGAGGACGTGACTGTAAAGACCCCATTTGGAGCGGTTTCCAGTGTGCCAAGGAGAAGGAAGTGCTGGGGGTGCAGTTTCCATAGTGGAAGGCCAGAGCGGCAATTGTTCCCAGTGGAGAGTATTTTTCAAGCCCCTTCATCGGTAAAGAGAAGGGGGCCCATGGAAGACACAGATATGAGATGCAGAGCATAAGCAAGCAGCTGTTACCATAGCAACAGACATATTAGACACTGCAGGTTCCTGAAAGCTGTCTGATAAGGTATTATTAAATGAAGCCTCCTCAAAACACTCTCCATTTACAACTGAACGAAAGACATTGTTTAGAAAGTAATCTATTTCCATTTATCAGGGTGGAATTTGCTTTTAGAGGGACTGAAAACCAATTCAAGCCAGATCCTGAGACCTTGGACCCAGACAGCAAAAAAATATTTGCCAGCATTTATAGCTTTAGCTACCCTGGACACACCCCATGTCTGCCAGGAATTGTCTTTTTGGTGGATTTTGCCAGCTTTTCCTTTTCTGGTGCCAAAGGCAGCTACTCCGTCAATGCCTCAGTGCCAGTCACCCCGGCCACGCGGGGACAGAGCAGACATGACTTTCTCCTCTTGGGGGATGAAGGACCGTGGACTGGTCATCCCCCGATGACAGAGGTTAGAAAAACAGAGCTCTGGTTCGAGGGGCATTTCTCATGCCATTGTCAGAGTCGCCTGCTCTGGCTGCCTATGAGCAAACAGATGGATCCTCAGAAAACCTCACCAATACTTTCCCCATGGCCAATTTTCTAATAAAATTACAACAAAATACCCTCTAGGGTGTGATTTTTAACCGCAGGTTCATTAAAATCACTTAGTTTGTAAAACAAGCGCAAATTCTGTTCTAACACCAAACTTTTCAGAGGAAGGACAGTGGCATCTGTTGTGATTCTTCAAGGAAGAGACACAATTCAGTCCCTGAACATGATTCCGGGTGCTCCCTGAAGTGTGGCCACCAACTCCCCTCTGACCCTGCCCACCCAGCTCTTCCTGCTAAAGGGTCAGGTTGGTAATAATGGTTTGCTGAAATCAGCACGAACCAGCCTCACTGCTTAAAAAACTTCGGTACCAACAGCCACACAGTCACCCCTGCCCACGCCGAGCCAGCACACGCTCACCCTTCCACACACCTGTGAGTAAAGAGCAAAACCCCCCCTGCTTCCACTGCCTGCAGCTTTCAACTTCTGAATGCATTCACTTTCTCCTGTTGCTAGCAAATCAACCTCACAACTTGCACACACTTCAGAATTTCTAGAAAACAACTCCACTGTCTGCTGTGGGAAGATGAGGCGCATGAGCGTTTAAGGTGCCAAGCAGAGCCCAGCAGGACGCCTGTATAAGGTGCCAAGCAGAACCCCAGCAGGACGCCTGTTTCTCCTATGTAATTATGCTGCCAGGGATTCTTCTAGAACAGGGGTTACTAACCTGGTTCCATCGCTGAACTTTAGGGAAGCCCTGTTCTCCCTGGCATTGCACACCTAATTCTGTACGTGCAGAACACTTGAGGGAGGTCTTAACTGTGGTTGTCAAATGTTAGTGTATTCACAATTAACCCAGTAACTATTCAGTAAGACTCTTGAATAGTTTTCATCAGCCTCCAAAACGGTGGAGAATCAGGACTTGAGAAGGGGCCAGATGGGGTGATACCTAGACATATGCAAGGAACCAGCAGTGACAGCTCGCAAATATGCGAGCAAGCAGCAGCAACATCCTGCTGTTGACGACTCTGTTGGTTCATGAAGAAAGTTCCCAGTGACCGGCAGACTCACCCCTTGAAATGCACCTCACTTTCACTGTCAGGAAAATCTAACAATGGCTATTTAAAATGAAATTCCTGCTCTAGTCCCCAGAGCTGTGTAAGTGAAACTGGCATACAGATTACTATAGCCCCCCACTTCCTAGAACAGATTTTTATATTAAGCAGTAAAAATAATCACCCGAGTAATAGAAAAACATACTTAAGTAGTGAAAATGCTCCCCTTCCCACATCTGTTCATCAGGCTCCCAAGGATCCAAGTTATCAGTGGGAAATGTGATGAGGCTTGAGAAACAACAACCCCCACCCCCACCCCAAACCTCCACCAGGTTATTTCCAAGGCTGGTGAGACCTGGAACAGAAATCCACCCATCCACAGAAGGCGGTTTGCACTTACAAAGCCTTGCAACAGAGTTCACCAGTCTTTTTGAAAATACCCATGGCAAGTGAATTCATACTTGAAAGATCTTGGAAATGAAACTCATGCTAGGTCACCTTTGAATTTCCCATTGGCTGCTAAAGTTCTCTCGATGCACCATCAATTATATGTTCCTCGCGACTAAACATCACTTACAACATTATTAATTTTGCATAACCAAATGGAATAGGAAATGCCTAGAGGTTATTATATGTCTGTGACCTGCACATTATAACTGGAATTCTGAGCAGAGCACCTCTCTGGGAATCTTCACGTGAAAAGGCAAGCAAATTAACTTCTACTCACTCCACTGTTGAAATAATGCTAAGTTAGAGGTGAGAACAATTCTCTTTGGTGGTTTTTCCTCTAGTGATTAGGGAAGGGCTTGCGCAGCAGCCCCCGGCACAGATCAAAAAGTAGGACATCAGGATCCCCTGTGGTGTTGTGAAAGGTTTTCACAGTACAATTAGATTTAAATCTTTGTACCCACCTTTGGGTCATGTTTACAGAGGCCAGTTAGAGACACACTTTAAAAATCTGCAGATGGAACAACATCATGTTCAAAATGCAAACCCTTGTTCAGAAATCAAAGCGCGGCCCCCACCTAACCACGCTCCTGCTTTGAAAAGAAGAGCACCCACTCGGTGTGTGCAGCCCACATTTTAGGGCGGTACGCCTGGACCTGGAAAATGTGGGATCAAATCTCAGTTCTGCTACTTACAAGTCAGTGAACTTCCAGTGAGCCTGTTTTCTCAGTCATGAATGCAAATGTGCCCCCCCTTCTATTTTTTTAAACAGGGTTGTCATGAGGCAGAAATGAGATGACTATAAGAGGCACCTAGAACATGACCTCCCCAAAGAAGGTTTGGGGCATCTGAATAGCGATTTCTTCGTACAAACGGCTAGCTCATCTAGGCCTCTGCACCCCTCGAGGAGAAAGGGTGACCGGGAAGGCTGAGGACCACAGGTGTGCCACGGCCACACCAGGTCTGCTGCAGGTGCAGCGGGACCAAGGCCAGCCACGTCGGACACTGCGCTGTCTCACCCAGGCGACGAGGGCACCCCTGACCCCTGGGGGAACAAAGGCCACGGGTCCTGCTCCTGGCCACCTTACCGTCATAATGAGCTTCTCCACGCAGTCGGGGGCCACGCTGTGGAGGTGGGTGAGGTGCAGCTGGAGGTGGATCTTGTTGTTGAGCATGTCCTGGCACAGGGGGCAGCGAAGCATGGGCTGCACTGAGTGCTGCGTCATGGCATGCACCCGGAGCCGGTTGACGTCGGCGTTGCTGTACTTGCAGTAGGGACACTGGTACATCTGTGGGGGACACACCCAGCCCTCGGGCTGAATCTTCAGTTCCCACGAGCAAGTGCGTCTGCCCCAAACCCGCCCGCCCGAGCGGTCTCTGCCCGCGGCTACGCAGCACGGCCCGCCCGCGCCGGCAGAGTCCCTCCTGCCTCACCTGCTCCGGCTTGGTCTCCTCGGATGTTTTCGGTCGCTTCGAAGAAAGAGGAGGTTCTGCGCTACCTGGGAAGGAGATGCGTTTGGAGGTTGCAGGAGAGTCTGTCAGCTCCTTCTCTGTTTGGCTGGCCGATGCTGGAAGGGAAAGGAGAGGACGTCAGACAGCGGCCAGCCCAGGCCGGCTCCCGGCAGCCTGTGCTGGGTGCAAATCAACACTCATTTCTAGCGCCGGACTTTCTTCCAACACCAGAGCTCAAGGATGCGCAACCGGACTGATGTATCGAGCACGCTGGAAAAGCAGCGTTTCTTTTCCCCTCCCTGAATTTGTGTCACTGCTTTGCCAACTGACAGCAGAAAAGAAGGTAGAGAAGTGGCCCGAAAGGCTCCGAGCCAGAGGACACCACAGTCAGTTTATGCTCATTTCCCCCCATCAAGACACGACCCGCTGCTTCCAGGCAGGAGCTGCTGGGCGCTGGGGCACTGGGGCTGAGGGGGCTGGAGAGTTTCACCTGGGGCTTTGCCAGCCACCGCTCGACCAGAGGTGCCCCCCGGCTTTCTGCCTCAGCTGCTGGACTCTCAGCGCGGCACCTCGCAGGCAACACAGGTAAGGTGACCCGAGAAAGGCTGGGTCGCCACATGCCAGTGCACAGGGGAAGGTCAGGTTTGGGCCAAGCGGCTTGCGTTTGAGGAAGGGGGGCATGAATCCAAGTTGCCAGCTAGTCAGTACTGCAGACACAAGTTTCCTCACAGTGGGTGGTGAGCGAGAAAGTTTCCAATCTCCCCCAAACCGTGCCCTCATACCCCACTCCCCCAACAACACAAACAAAAACACCAGTTAATGAGGAGAGTCACGGGAGGCTCGAGTAGCAAACAGTGGGAATGGAAGAGCAAGTGGCAGGAGCTACCCAAAGCGTGGCCAGAGATGTGGAAGATTCTGATGCTAAGGCAGCTCCTCCACTGTCAACAAAAATCCCCACCATGGCCGGATGTGGTCCTTCCGAGGCCTGGTCCGTGCAGCTGAGGGCTAGCCCTCTCACTGGTTCTGGACACGAAGTCTGTGCTCCAGGATTCTGTAGAAGCAGCCAAGGCGGGGAAAAGCCCTGAAAATGGTGTCAGAAAACATGTATTGCCACCATCAAAAAATAATGTGACTCAGCACTGCGGGCGCTGGTTCACAAAGTTGAATATCTACTCCTTGGTCAAACTCCTTTCAGTCTCACCCTGTCTAGTTATCTAGCTTGTGTTTCCACTTTAGGCTCAGCTTTGAAATCTGTTCTGACGTGGAGACCAAGATGCTGTCAGTACAGACGTGTGCTTTAATAAACAATTTTAGAAAATCAATTTTATTCATTAAAATCATAAGGCCACAAAATAATTTCGAGAAAAATATTGCAAAATGCAGGAAATATTCCAGGAAGTTGATGCTTTTCCCAGAATGCACATCTTGTGACCTTTAACCCCAGTATCTTGGTAACCTGGTCTCCATAACTTGGTACGACATCTATTATTTAAAAAGTCCAAGGACAAGCATATTACACACAGACCCCTCCCGCCTCCTCCCAACACACACATTCATAACAGTACTTTAATCTGTCTCGAATCGACTTCCAACCCATTTTGCTCTTAATGGGAGTTATTCATTTTCACTTGAAAGGTAATACATGACGGCTGGATATTTAATGTGATGGACTGGCTGCTGAGTAACTAGGTGCTGTGACATTCTAGGCCGGTTCCCCCATGACCCACTTCCCATCTCTTGGCCCCCCACGGACCGGATCCTGTGGAACTGTGTGTGGCGGGTTTCAGCCCCGCCAGTGTGATGGCCCCTGCAGGAACACACCCACCACACGAGTCTTTAATTAATGTTTCAGGGACTTAAGTAAGCTGCCCCTGCTCCCAGAAGGGGCTTCTTCTCCGCCATTTTTCACTTTTGCTTACTGGTTATCTCCTGTACATGAGCCTCAAGTGTATTCTTTTTTTTTTTTTTTAATTTCTTTATACAAGAACTGGGGTACAGGCCAGAGATGCGGGAGGGTGAGAGGATTCACCAGAGACAGAGCGGGGAACAGAACAGGCAGACTGACGAAATACACTGCTGAGGGGAGCAGTAGGCGAGCCTGGAGGGCAAAGCCACGCCCTGTGGGTTTGTCCCTGGCCGGCCGGGATCGAACCCGCGCTGCAGAGGCTGCGGGCAGCTTCACAGTGTGGCGCTCAACCACCTGCGCTGCCACGGGGGCCCCTCAAGTGTAATCTACAGATGGGGTGGACAGACTCGCCAGATGATGGTTTAGAAGCTTATTTGTGAGAGCCACCCCCTCCCTTCCCTATTTCCACCTCCGACCTCTCTCTATTCAGTTAGGCTGAGGGCTGGTGGCTGGGCAAGAGCCGTGCTCTCCTTCCCCTGGAGGCAAACCAAGATACGGATTCTATGCCCAACACTCGCTCACCCTTGCCTTTTTGTTAGGCAGCCTGACCTGACACGACGCATGCCTTTATGGGACCCTGACACTACCTTGTAAATGCCCTTCATCTGCCTGCTCGTCCCCTTAGAACGGCTGTCAGCTGTGCAGCTGCTCGGCGGCGTGAGTGAATGGGCACTGAAGCCGAGACCACCCAACTCATCGCACTCACTCGGAGCTGAAAAGCAAAGCACAGTATAGAACCCAGTGCGGCGTCAGCGTCCGCGTAGGACCAAAGAGACCATCGTCTCTCCGTCGATGCCGAGCGCGTGATGAATTGGGACAAGGTGGCAGAGGTGAGAAGTCTGGTTTCAGAATCCACTATTCTTTCCCCCTGCATGGAGAGGGGAACTTTTATTACCTTTTTTTTTTTTTTTTTCAAACTCTCAAACTGCTCTGGAATTCTAAAGCTGCCTTTGTGAGCTTCAGCCAAGGAGTTCTTATAAAATGTTTTAAAAAATCAAATCAGCACTCGCTCATTCATTCCTCTTTCTCCCCAGCAACAAAAGTCCTGCTGTAATAGGAAATGCCGCATCCACTGGTGTAGCAGCTCCTGAGGTGGTTCTTCCTTCCAACCAGGACAACCTGCATTTTCACGAGATCAGAGCTCTCTAGAAGTGGACACAAGCCAGCTGGGCACACTAGCCCCTTCTCTAGAGCACAGCCATGTTAATACCCAGTGACAACCCCACCACGTTCCCCTGGGTGATACGGGGAGGCCTGGAAGAGTGGGGTTAGCCAGGCTGCCAGCCCCCTTCCTGGCTCACTGCCGCTCCTGTCAAGAGATGGCACTGAAGTCTACGCAGCTTCTGTACACACTGGACAAAAACTGGACACACGGCTGTACACACTCTCCATCAACATGCCGGACGAGGGTCACGACAAGCCACAGTCTGAGGCTTTTGCAAGTTTCTTCCCTCAACAACTTCAAAGGAGCACAGTCGCAAAGTCAATTTCTACTTCTCTTCTGCCGCTTGCGTACAGGGCAAGTGTAAGCAACTGAGGCTGTGAGGACACCGAGAGAGAAAGTGCTGTGCTTTCCTGCTTTGAAAACTTTTCTAAGCTTCCATTGCCAGAGAGATACCCCCGTCTATACAACACTATTTAAAACATCAACTACGGGTCACTCTAAGGCTGCTATGGTGTCGCGTTGGTGAAGTGGAAGTAGGCGCGCTCCAGGGACAAGCCCCCGATGAACTGTGCTGGGCACCTTGGGTCTACACTGGCAACAAAAAGCCAAACAAATGGAAGGGTTACTACCATGATGGTTTTTACAACAATGACAAATGAACTGGGAAAATATCTAGATCTCTTACAACCGGGCATGGTTAAATAACCAATGGTGTGGCCCTTCTATTGGGTATTAGAAGACAATGAAAATGACAGCTTTCAAGCAATGTGGGGAAAATCCCTGTGAATGGTATTTGGAGGGAAAAAAGAAGATACGATGTCCATCATCCTATGATGTAGCTATGGGGGGAAAAGGTATTGAAGTAAAAGACTGAAAGAAAATGATTGTTATATTTAGGTGATATCCTCATGGACCATTTTCCCATTTTCTATGTTTGTCATGCAGCTATATTATTTTTAATATTATAATTAAATAGTTCAGCATTTACATTCAGCTGTCCATGAAGAAGGTGATATTTGGATCCAACTGTGCAAAACATTAGGTGGTATATTTTTACTCTGCTGGTTAAAGCAATTTTTCTCTTTTTGGCAGCTGTGTCATATGAAAATATGTGTTAAATCTCAATGAATCTCCCACAGGCACCATGCCGGGCTCCCGGCACTTCAAAGGGGATTTAAAAAAAAAAAAAAAAAAAACCTAAAAAAAACGTGGCAAGGAATCACACAAGCGCATACGTTACTGATCACACACCCCGCACACCAGGCACCCCACACATCCCAGGCAATTGGCAGGGGGTGACGACAAAATGCTGGCTCCCGCCCCTGCCAAAACCTGATAACGTGACTCCCTGCCACACATGCTTTCTAAGGAGTGGACAAGCACCTGCTCAACTTGCTAGGACTTACGGTTGCCCTACCCAACTGGCTTCCCTGGCACTGGAAGGACTGGCAAGCCCTGGTAGTGGAGTACAGGAAATTCAAAGCTGGCTTTGTAAGCTAAAAGCCACTTCCCCCTTCACGTGTGATGGGTTGGCCGCGACAACTGACGGAGAAAACTGAGACGGGCAGATCCGAAACAACGCTCTCCATTTTACCCTCTCGGGTTGCTCTGCATTCTCGGGGAAAGAATTTCATCTCAAAGGGAAACACGGGGGGCCTCCCCTGGTGGTGCAGGCGGTTGAGCGCCGCGCTGTGAGGCTGTCCACAGCCTCCGCGGCACCAGTTCGATCCCGGCCGGCCAACGAGGGTCCTACATGTTGGGGTAGACCTCTCCTGTCTCGCCCGCTGCTCCTCTCAGCAGTGTATTTCGTCAGTCTGCCTGTTCTGTTCCCCGCTCTGTCTCTGGTGAATCCTCTCACCCTCCCGCACATCTGGCCTGCGCCCCGGTTCTTGTATAAATAAAAAAATCTTTAAAAAAAAAAAAGGGAGGGGGGGAAACACAGGTGTGTGCGTGAACACAGCCCTCCAGTTACCCTGCGCTTTTTAACATTCATTTGGAAAGTGCTTCACCTTTGAAAATAAGTACTTAAAAAGTTCCTCCTGCTATACTAATTACAGGGGCCCGGGAGGAGAGCCAGTCCGAATACATGCAAATTTGTTTGCAGTTTTCAAAACATGTCTCTATGTTCTAAACACAAAGAATAATTTTTTTAAAGGCTGGCAAAGCTTCATGTAGGAAGTGACTTACTTTTTAAGGAATAGGTAAGAAATTCTAATTTATGGGCCTTAGACAGTGGCCAAGTATGGTAGAAACGCAGCCCCTGGAACCCGACCTTCCTAGAACAAATTCTCACCCAATCCCAATCTTCCCGCTCAGACTAAAATCCAAGTCACTACAGTTTGGGCCACAGGACAGTTCAGAGTCATACGTGCATCAGCACAGGCGACCAGGGACTCTCTGCCTCTTTCTCCCCTGGTGACATGGTCTGGACAAAGCTGAGGGCATCAAGTTGCTACCTCATGAAAAAGAAACCTGAAGAACAACTGGAAATGAGGTAGGACTGGAGTCTGAAGGCAGCTAGTTTTTCACTCCCGCCAATCACTAGCAGAGGCATCTCCGTGCTCTCCCAGAAAGCCTGAGCCCCGGGAGAAGTCTTTTCTGTTTCAGAAACAAAATTCATCTCGTCACTCAACACACCAGTGGGGCCAGTGGCAGGGCAGACGCTGCGTGGGTGATGTTTACCCAAGTCCTGATCCCCTTCCCTTCAGGGGTGTCAAGAAGAGTCCACTAAGGGCTAGGGGTGCTGCCTGACGCTTACTCCTAGTGGAGCAGCCCAAGGCAGCTGCTGCCTCCACTTCTCAACCATCAGACTCTTAGCTAAAGTACCACTGACAGCCCCTCCATCTAAACTTCCATCTCCCAAACCAGCAACATAATGGAGGAGCCAATTAAATGATTATTAATTCATGCTACTTTCCGTAAGCCAGAGGTTCTCATCGCCTTGTGTTCCGTAAACCAGCTTGCCACCTGCCCCAGAAATTTACAGCAATCCTTCATCTATCTCCAGACAGTGACTTGACTGGGGGGGGGAAATTCACCCAACTCCACACTCCAGGTCTGATGTGGAGGAGCTCGCCCAGCACACCCGACACAGAAGCATCACTGGATCTGGAAGGGGTCGCTCGGCTCGCAGGGAGAACGGCAGGGTGACTCCCACAGCCCTTCTCCTGCAGTGGCTCAGAGGCCCCCAACTCCCGGTGGGCAGCAGTGAGCACTGTTTCCAGAGGGTAATCTGTGCTTCTGGGCTTCGCCATCTTCTTGCTATTGTTTGCAGTGGAGCTGTCCCTGGCATTTGCTTGCCTTGGCTTCCCCAGGGCACGGGCTGGGGGCGGCACTCATCTCCTGCAGAGCCACCGTGCCGACATGGCTGGCGTTCTGGCTCAGGTCTCTTCCTCCCCGAATACAGAAACCCAACAGTTCCGTTAAAGGGTCTGCTTTGCTGCCAGCTTGGTCTTTAAACATGCATGGTCTCATTCTGCTTCCAACCAAGCACTTAAAGATGTTTCAAAGAAGGATCAGGGAAGTTGTGTGAAGCCAAAGCAAGCGCTGGGACACCCAGCGGGGGTGGCCTGCACCCCATGGCTGAAACTAAGCCAGGGCCTCGCCCCTCCCTGCTAAAGGTGTGGAATCGGACTTAAAGTCCAGCCCAGGAGGTCGAGACCCTTCTGTTGATAGCACAGTCCTCTTCTGAGCAAGTGCCAGCTGCGCTGCTTTGCCCATCTCTAGAAAGCACTTCGGAGAAGCACAACTACCTGCTCAAAAAGTACAAAATATGCCTCGACAGGTAGAGCAAGACATCCAAGCCTCATCAACTTATCGGACATGTCTTTTTTGTTTCCATAAAGGATTTTAAAGAAAATGCGGGTTATGCTACAAATGGGTGTAGCTGGTACTGGGGAGCAGCTAATTGTTTTTCTCTTCCAACTCAAAGATGAAACAGAGTCACACTTTCAATGTCCGGAAGATCCTAGGTGTCACTGGTATGATTTTTGCTTCTTATTTGGAAATAATTATACATTCATAGGAAGGTCCAAGAGCAGTACAGGATGGCGCCAGGAAGGCACCAGGTACCCTTCACCCAGGTGTGATGCTACAGTGTTTAGAGATTGTCCAGTTCTTGGATCTCCGCACTGTGACCCTGTCTCTCCCAACACCTCTCTCCCACTCAGAACCCCACTATCCAGGACTGCAGTGTTAAAGCTTAGAACTGGGGCCTCCTCTAGGCTTAGCCCATCCCTTAGGAAAGTCGGGGCCCTGCCCTCCAGTTAAAGGAGAGCTAGGTCTCCACACCTCATGCGCGGCACGGAGATGACAGCCCCAAGAGTCCCAAACTCACACTTGAGTCCAAGCGCCTGGAGGGCTTGCGGAAATAGACCACGGGACTCACCCCCGGAGTAGGTCTGATTCTGAGAATTTAAGTGAGTTTCCTGGTGATGCCGATGGAGCAGTAACCACACTGAGAACCACTGGCAGAGCCAGGCTTTCTGTAACTGGTAGGAACCCTGTCGCTTTGTGGGGGGCACCAACACTTAATAATACAGGAGAGGCCCAGCAGGCTTGGAGGACCAGCCCACCTAAAATGACGCCTGCCCACGCGGTCCTCGGAGCAGCCACACTCAGGGACGAAAGCCAAGCCTGGTCTCAAAAGGGAGGGGAGAGGTTTTCCTCCTCGGGCCAGAGGTGAAAGATGAAATAAGGCTGTCCCTCGGCGATCCTGCTCACCCCAGCGCCAAGGCGGACACAGTTCCCATGTCAGAAGCAGGAACGCCCCCTGTGCTGCCAGCGGGGGGATCGGAACAACGACCGGCCGGCGGCCTTGCTCACGGGCGTCTCTTGGCCGGGAGCACCTCTGCGAGAGAGGGCGGATGCCGACAGGCCCTCTCCCCTCTGCAGAGCTGCTTCCCTGGCCTCGGCACCTGCGGCACCCTGGCTTCGGCCGCGGGAAGGTCACAGAGATCCGCACTCGCCGTGGGCCCGGGGTCAGCCACCCGCAAACCGAGCGCACGCCACACTCTGGGCCCTGCCTTCCCAGTACGCGGCCTCCGGATGGAATGGCAGGCCCAGGGCGACGGGGGGCTGCTAGAGCTTGCTCTGCATCTTTGGGGAGAAAAGAGTGCTAAGCCCTACATCAGAGGCATCCATCTGTTGCACTAATTCCTTGTTGAAATATGCATAAGGCTGCTTAACTCCACTGATGCAGGCTCCCAGAAGGTCAGGCCGCAATTCAATTCCAAAATACCTGGCTCCCTCTGTGTCAGGTTTATGAATGAACCAGTCACAGCAGAGGCACCAGGCACCACCTCGCTTAGACCCACATCAACCGGCAGGCTCTCTACTAACGTCTGGACACCAGGCTGCCTCTGCGAGGCCGGCTGGGGCCAGAGGGGCCGAGACCCGAGGGTGACTCCGTCAGCCTGCCTGCCTTTGCCTCGTGTCAGTTCCCCCGGAGCCCTGAGCTGTGCAGACGCCACCCCGCAGCCGTGGTCACAGTGTCCTGTGAGGACGGGTGGCCATGGTCAGGGGAGACTCTGGGGTCTGCACTTACCACTCTGACTTCGTTACAAGAAGGTGACAACCCTGGACTTGCAGAAAACCAGAGCAGGAAGGACCTTAGGGACCCCTAACTAACAGAGGGAACATCGGCGGTGCAAGATGTAGGTCAAAACAGGAGGCAGCGTGGGTCATTCTGGCACCAGGCCAGAGTCACTGAACAACAGCTCAAGCGGTCCCCGTCGGATCAAGCATTCATTAGGCTGGCACAGACTCCCAGGAGGGACTCTGTCAGGACTCTTCCACTCTGAACATATCTTCTGCAGATGCTTTCTCAACGGTAAGACTGAAAGTGAAACTTAGGGAAAGAAACAGCATCTGGACGCGGCCTGCGGACGCACACAGCCCTGCACTCCTCAGCGCCTTACCAGCCCGCCGAGCTTGCTTCCCACTAGTCCAGGTTTGGCCGGAGAACGCGACCGTGGGGCTCAGACACCACCCAGGCCCCCCTGGCCTGGGAACAGAGTGACTCTTGACCTTCCCCTGGCGC